GTATATTGCAGAAAGTGCTTGCTGACGTTAAGCAATTTAAAAATAAAACCAGTAGCCTAGGCTTATGAGACAACTTCATGGTGTTCTCTAATGATAAAACTAAGCATGTATTAGTGCATAAAAGTGACAGGAAAGATAGGCTTCTGTCAGAAAAGCAAAGGGCTGAGAATCAAACTCTGCGCTTGGCATTGTCACATGTTTATGGTCCTGAGCAAGTCACTCATCTTCCTCATGCCATGCCTCAGTGGGCGGAGTACTCGTGCAAGCAGGGTGGGACCTGTGTTCTAGTCCTTCCTCCTGAGCTGCCCAAACCTGCACCTCCCAGGGGAGACCCTCCTCCCTGGGCTATTAAGCATCCTCGGAGGAAGGACTTTCTCCATCCTTCTTCTGAATGGAGCTCTCCCTATTTAAACCATCACGGATGCAAACACAGAGAAGGGGAGAAAAAGACCTTGTTTTCTAGTCAGGAGGGTGGTGTGGGGTCAAACCCCAATGCCAGTGGTGACATATTAGCCAAAGACTGTTTAACGTAAAACACAAACAGAATCTGCAAAACGGGGAGTGGAAACCAGGATGAGTAACCTATTCCATCACCTGGACTAATGCTTTCTCCTCCAGCCCAATGATTTATTAATGATTACACATAAATTAAACAGGAGAAGTTGCAAGAGCACACCCTAAGCCAGAAAAGACTATTTGGTTAGTTAGTTGGTCCAGGTGACATCTGCTCGGGCACATGAAAGAATTATACCAGCTCTCCCATCTGCCAGGGAGTGATCTCAGGGGTCATGCCAGTGTATTTTATTACAAGAAAGAGAAGTCAAGCTGTTTTCCCACATTTTGAAGAAAGATGGCAGCTACTACATTTTATGTCAAATGTAGGCCTGCTTGCATTGTGGGGTACGTAGCTCTGAGGAGCTACACATCAGTCACGTGATCAGCAAAGCCAGCCCATTCCTGCTCTTTCCCTTCAACGTGCTAAGGGCTGCCCTTGAAGCTGTGCTCTAGTTATTGGACCATTCCTTAGCCCCAGTCACTGACATAATCCACATAAGTAGATACATAAATACATAATGACAACAACAACCCTTCCAGAAGAGATCATGGGGATGAGTGGCCACGGTTGGGTTAGCCTAGTTTATGTCTATTTACTCATCTAGCCTCTATTTTCTAAATTAATGTTTGTGCCAAGAGCACCTAGACATTTATGAAAAATGTTATCAGCCACCTGACTTTTGCTTTGGTGCCCAAGACTTGCTAGAAGTTGGATGGAAAACATATACCAGACCTGAAATAAGTTCCAAGTTTCCCTAGTTCCAGTCTAGTGCTTTAGCTGGAAGACATCCTGCCTCAATTCCCAGAAGTTTTATTATATCCTCTTCTCCCCAGAATTTGTCCAAGGCATATTTGATTGAGAAATGTATTCATCAAAGAAAGGGTTTGTGAATCATTATATCATGTTATTACATGTGGCAAATTAACTTGTCACATGTTGGAGAAAGAAAAACCTGGGTTTTATTGCTCTTGCCTGAAAACAGAACAGACTCACTTAATGTCCTTGTGCAGGCTGAGTCTCTCTTGACTGAGACCCCCTCATGTGATGCCACCTGCATTATTTTGGGCTTAATTGCAGCACTTTTGTTGTTGTTATTTGCACTTATTTGCTCTTGAGTATGTCAGATTTCCCTTGTGTGTTTTCTTTTTTCAGACTTCTGCAGTGCTCCTGAAGCCAACTCAGCAGAGACTGTTCTACTGAGAGCTTTCTGAAATGATTCTTAAATTACAATGCATAAACTCTTGAAATTAAGTCAACGGCAAAATTCAAACGTAGGTTTAATTTGGCACCTTCCACTTAACTGATTCCTTGTGTATAAAAAAATGCTTCTGTTAAATACTTAGGATGACATTTCATTGGTTCTGAGCGTCATACTACTCTGTGTAAAAATCTCTGTACTCTTTAAAAACTTTAATCACTGTCTTTCGGGCAGGTATGTAAAAGCTTTAAAGTGGAACTGACCAAGAAATTTGTTCCAAACTTTACAGCTCTCCTCAGTGCTTCTTCGTACCTTTTGATAAGAGGATTCTTAGTTGGAAAGAGTTTAAAAAACTGAGGGATGACTGTTGATGTTAGTTTTTTAGCTCTAAATAAATGAGGGCAGGGAAGCACCAGTAAATAAGCAGCTGGAGGAAATAAGGATTTATCCTTGCTTCTGAGGAGACCTTTTTCAGATGTGCAAGAGGGTTAGAAGGCTCTTTTGCTGCTTTCTGCTTATCCTGCACAGTTGTAGCTCACTAGGCTGAAACTAGAGTACCAGACAAAGAAGTGGAAAGTTATCCAAAATTGCTTGCTTGTTTAAAAGTAATATATACATTATTGTTAGTCATTCCATGGCGTTAGATCTTACAGCTACATTTCAGTTAAGTGTTCTTCTATGGGCATGTTCTCTTAGATTTTTTGGCAGTAGTGTTCCTTTCTAACAGTATTTTAGTGCTTAGAATTGATGGCAAGTTATATTTTATCCATATAATGTTTAATTTAATAAGGAAAAATGTGATTATTTGAATTAATTAAAGAGTGTGTAAGAACTCTGTGTAATGCACTTTTGATACTCACTTTTAAATGCATGCTTATATCTATTGATTTATAGATATTTGAGATATATTTATGCAAATTTGATATACTAGCAATGCAAGGTATTATATATCATTTGCAAGAGTGTTGCAGTTCACATTTAAGCAGTGAGTGGTGTTCATTAAATGCCTGTGCTTCAGCTGTGTGTTTGTATGGCAGTGTTTTTTCTTTTAAGGCTTAGCTATTAAATCCATTGTAAAATACTGCAGAGTTGTATCTCAGCATTTTTAAGTGATCGCTTGACTCCAATGACTGGTATGCATGGAAGGTGTAGTCAAAATATGTCTATTTAAAACAGATGTAGTCATTAGCAGGCCCTCTAAACTGTGCCTCTCAGCTTATTCTAAGTCAAACCATCTCCTAAGCAGGTTAGGAGACAGATGATTATCCCTGGTTCCACACATGTCAAGTATAGCCACACGGCTGCAGTGGCAAGGTGGCTAGTGCAGTGGAAGTAGGATTCGTTACTTAGCTAACAGACAAGTTTGCTGCTATCCATGCTCCTCATTCTGCCTCATTGATGCTATTTAAAAATGAAGCTAATAACAAGTATTAGTGCTTGCTTATCAACAGGCATGGTAAGGAATTTTACTCCCCTGAAGCTGCCCAGGGTTAGCTTTGGTTGGCTATTTGTTGCATCGTATTGCAACACTATGGGATGCTACAGGGAATGTCCTTTGGGCTGCCATGATCCTGGAGAAGCTGAATGTCACTGCCTAGGGTGAATTTAACCATAGCATAATGAGCAGGAGGAGTGGGCTGTAATAATCTGCTGTGAGAGAGAGAAATAGCAGAGCCTGAGCAAGGCCTTGCCAGTAACAGAAAAGAAACAAGATTGTTTTCCAGACTGCCCCAACCATGACCTTAGGATAGGGATTTCTGACTGACCCTGAGCCATAAAGCATTAAAAACGCAACAAATGATCCACTGGGCTCTCACTTCTTGACCTCCCTGCAAGCAGAGAAGCTTTTCTAGCTCTCTCTGAGAGAATGATATCATTTCTGTAGTTATCTTTACAGCTTTCAGACTGAGTTTCTCACCTGCTTAAAGAGAACTGTGGCAAGCACTACCACTTCACTCCAGTTATTTTCTTGTTTTAGGATAGCAGCTCTTGCACTTCTGTCATTTGCTGATGGACCAGAAGAATGTGAACCTGCCCATCTGATTTCAGTGGTCTTTTCGTGATTTGGTAAGGTAATCTGTCATTTTGTTAAGGTATCAAACATATAACCCGTCTTTAGGACTAGGGGAGTTGCCACTATTGCGTACAGGGAGTAGGCAAAAAAAGGGACAATTTTTCATGGGGAATGGACTCAGTGGTCTACAAGCACAAAATCTTCCAGTCTGTCAGCTGTGACCCTGCTATAGCCATCACACCCCCCCCCCCCCCCCCCCCCCCCCACACACACACACACACACACACCCCTTCCCCATTGGCTGGCATCACAAGAGAGCAAAGGCAGCAGAAGTGAGTTTACATAGGTCTGGAAATAAGAGTTTGATGCTCTTCCCAAAGCATCTGAGTAGGTAATGCCCTGTGTGGTACAAACTAGTGTTACCACCTGCAAATGGGAGTTACAGTTCTGAGTCTGATGTGCATCCTCCATCACTAAGTAAAGCAAATGGTGTGTCTTGGGGCCAAATACACCACTGCAACAGAGCTTCAGTAGTTACTCTCTTTGAGTTGCATCCATATATATGAAACTCGGGTTTGTCAGCATCACTCTGCTGGGCTGCATGCTGCCTGGTATATTATGGTTATTCTGTGCTGCTGTAGTACGGACCATTGTAATCAGCCTCTGGATACTCCTAAATTAAGGCAGATCATCTTTTACTCCTAAGAAACCTCCAGAACCCAGCTGCAGCCATAAAGCTGCTTCAAATGCAAGCTGGCTGCAGTTCAGAATTGGGGCCAATATTTTTAACAGCATGAAATTTTGTTGTAGGCCCTCTGGAAGGATTCTGTATATGAAACACTGAACTGGAGCAAAATCAAAACTGAAGGCCCCTGTGTGGAAAAACAGGTGAAGAAAAAGTTGGCTATAGAGAGATGCATCTCTCATACGTACTCCAAATAGTGACTGCTAACATTAATTTGGAATAAGGTGTATCTTTCTTTATTGTTAGCTTATGTTAACAAATGCATTATAATGTCATGACCTCTTGTGTCTGAGCTGGCGTCTAGTAGAACATACCAGCCATATTAATCTAATCAACATAATCAGAAAATAACTTGATATTTTATGTTAAGAATTAAATCATAAACTCTATCCACTCTGTATGGGCCTGTCCTTCTACATGTACTTTCGTACTGCCACTGGTGGCTTTTTGTTTGCATTACAACAACCTGAAGATAAACGCAAGGCAAGATCCAAGATAGGAAGGTAAATTGTTTTTGCAAACATGGCAGAGAAAATGTGTGGAATCAAATGCCAATATTAATGCATGACATCTGCTCTCTGCTCCAGTTCTGAGTAAAGTAATCCAGTCCTAATTACACACTGCTGTGCCCTCTACCAGCTAAGGAGAATGGTGCAGCCATTCTTAGTACCGGTATATAAATTTCTTTCTGAATCTGATAGATACATTAGATGCAGGGCAGGCTTTTCATTTTTTGACTGTCAGTTGCTTTGGGTAGCACAAAGAGAGGGGAGGAGAAAGGTTGCAGCAGGAAAAGATCAAAATCTTCCAAAAAGGACTCTGCTCCTAGAATAAAAAATTTTTCCTAGACAACTTTCTCTGCAGACCTCAATCAATATTATTCTCATCTGAGTGCACATATTATTCATTAAGAAACCTTGGCAAGATGTGCACTATAGTGTATGCCTTCATTAGAGCCTCCACTTGCCTGCTTTTATCAGAAGATCTTCAGTAACTTTCATCTTCATTGAACTTGTTTCTGTCTTTGGATTGGGAAAGAAATTTTGTAATTTCACAGGATGGGTTTATTTAAAAAAAAAAAAGCAAAATATTAATCTGTTTGGTTTGTGGATGTGTTTTCTCATACATTAATGGATCAAGAAGATTATCACCATTAGATTCAGACTGAATTAGATGCTGATGAAATCATGTACAAACTATGGTCCAACGCAACAGACACTTGCTGACTGTGTGACATGGGAGTAGCTGGAATTCCTCCATTGTGTGTTCAGCAGCCATTCCATATCCTTTGTGTGCACCTACTGCTATTGTGCAAGAAGCCATTTTCCTATGGAATCAATGTTTTTAGATGATATGTTGTTAGAATGACGCTATGAAGACCTGACAAATGTGGTGCACAGCAAGTAGAGTCAGAAGGAACCACAAAACACGGGGGGACACAGGCAGTGTATTAGGATATTTTTATCACAAAGAAACATGAGTCCTGACATTGCATTTTGTATTTTCAATCCATGTTTTTACATCTCTGCCTATTCTGTGACATTTCTGCCTGGTCTCTTCAGCAGCAAGACAGTAAAGAAAGAAAGTATCTTACTGAAGAAAGGCGCTGGGATTTTTGGACAATATGTTGTAGTCTCCATGACTGGGACCACTGTGTGCTGCTGCAGCATAAAGAAGAACTGATAGTAACAGATTACAAAGAGCCAGCTCCATGGCTCTCCCCCTGTTCACCCATCTCACATGTGATTAGTCTCTGCTTGACATCAGGCTGGGAGCAATAAGCTCTGATCATAACAGTGGATGTGGCAACGAGCCCGAGAGCTCCATGAGTCACTCCAGAACCAGACACTGTCTCACTGGATTCCTTCATAAAACAACTGAGGCAGATGTGTGGATGCCAGCTTTGTCTCTCAGGTCTATCTACCACATCCACCAAGGTAAGGAATAAAAGGCAGGACTATCTGCAGGAAATCATTGTAGTAGCAATGAATTTTGGAGAAGGATATACAGAAAAGTCAGTTATGGGTCCAGATGAAAGTGAGATACATTATAGAAACACTGTCAGCAGAATTTACTCATAAAGTTTGAGGTGGTTTTAGTTTGGTTTGGAGAGGGGGTGTTAAGGATTCTTTCCTGCTTTAAAGGACTCTAGAAACTCTGCACAGATACTGCTGTGTGAAGAGCTGACAGAGTCAGAGTCCATGTGTTGGCTTGCTAAAGAGGTTGGGCTAAAGGTGCTTGCCTGAACTTTTGCTTGACTTCAGTATGAATTGAAATTTTATGTCACTGTTGAGAACTGATTGACCAAACAAGTGGAAGAACACATCTCACTTGAACCTGGGAATGTTTTGAGTAGAATGAGAAAGGAGTCTTCTCCTGGAAAAGATGTATCTCCTCTAAGCGCACTTTCTCTGGAGCCCAGGGGAAGCCAGCCTGTGCCAGCTCCAGTCTGGGCCTCCTCTAAAGCCACTCACTTGGGTCATCAATTCCTCTGCCTTAGACCTGCCCTTCTCCCCAGGTGTATTGGTACGGGGGAGAGGCCGATGGATCTGCAGTGCGTCAAACCCAACCTGATCCTCCAGTAACTGATACCCACTCACAAAACCTTTCTGATGCTGCTTCCTCATGGAGTTCTTTGCATCTGAGCTGTTCAGGGCAGGGGCAAAATCTGCCCGTTAAATGTCCTTTGAAACCAGAAGCAGACCAAGAATTTAAGTCTTGCTACTTTTATTTTTGAAAAAAAAATATTTTTCTTTTCAACTTTGTGCTATGGAGGGCAGCAGCAAAACTTCTGAATGGCTAATTTATCTCCTGTAAATTTCTCTAAAAGGTCATTAAAGACTGTAAAGTCTAATGGCTTAAAGTGCCAGCCTTATATCATAGTGTTAAAGAACTCATTCTCTAGAGGTAGCATTTCTGAAGTTTTGCCATTTTTCCTCTATTAAAGGAAATGCTAGATATTTAACACACTGGTTTTCTTTTATATA